TGATCTGTGCCTTTCCGTGTCACTCCCAAGCTTTGCCTAAGTAGATGTGATTTCCTAAGAGGAGGGGTAGCTTTGCCACTGTTTGAATTGAAGTGGACAATGGCTGGCACTGCCTTTGCAGAGGTGAAGTGAGAGAGTGTCCTGGGCAGATGAGGGCAGGGCTCAGAGCAGGGGGAGGGGGAGGGATGCGCAGAGCCACTCTGTGTTCTCACATGTGAGGAGACTGTGAACTCCTCACGGAGGTCAGCACGGGAGCCAGAGTTGGACTGCAGGAGTGTGATGGAGAGGCTGGGGCTTGGCTGCAGAGCTCAGAGCTCTGAGGATAGAGACACCAGCCAGGAAAGCTCAAACGCACTGCCTTTTCTGTGATGATTTATTTAGGGTGGGGAAAGAATTGAGGTACATGGGCTGGGAGACTGTAAGTCTTGGAGAGGATTATAAACTCATTTTCTGTTACACACAAGGCTCAGCGACAGCAGAATCTGTAGATGAGGTTGAAGTAAATGCAGGTGCCAAAAGTGCGTTCCAGAACCTGGCAGTCTCCTATTCGGCAGTAACAGTTTCGTCCGGCATGGACCCCTGAAGGCACAGAAGAAGCATTAGTCAGCTGGCAACGAGGACAGCAGTGAGCGCTGACAGTTTTGACGACGCAGCCAACAGAGGGGTTCCTGATGGCCATGTGTCACAGAGCGCAGCATTAACAACCACAAGTCAACACACACGCAAGAGTGAGTGACACACACACTCCAAACACTTCCTCATTTATTTTTACTTCTTCTTTCTTATTGTGTATATTCCTAAGTCTTGACCTCAGGGCTCAGTGTTCTTGCCTGGCTTTGGCACTCAAAGCTAGTGCTCTACAATTTGAACCACACTTCTACATATTTTTAGATAATTGGAGATAAGAATCTCGGAGGGTTTTCTTCACTGCTTGGCTTTCAACCATAATCCTCAGATCTCAGCCTCCTGAGGAGCTAGGATTACAGCAGTGAGAACCAGGGCTCAGAGATCTTCACTTCCAGGTGTCCACTCTACAGCCCAGGAATATCTAAACACACCCACATATCTCCATCTAGTACCTGACCCTCCCCACCGTGCTGTCGATGGTGACCCATGCTAGCCACTCCCGTACTCAGGAGACCCAGAAAGCAGTGGTGTGAGGCCATGCTGGATGAAATAGCTAACAGGTCACCTGAACATCAATAAGCTGAAGTGCTGGCTCAATGGAGCCACAGGGATGAGGATCACAGTCCAAAACAAACCTCAGGCAAAAAGGAGAAGCTGTGAAATAGAACTGAAGGAAAAGGAGCTACAAATGTACTGCAAGGGATACAGCTCAGCATAAATGGAGGAGACGCTTGTCTAAGAGCAATCCTCCTCACTACCATCCAGAGACAGCTCGTCTCTTACATTGAACATAGTGATTGTGACATATCTAGGTTGGATTCATGCCTTGCAGAAAGGTCACATTATTGTCACTAGGGTGTCACCATTCAGTAAGAAGAGGAAGGGACAGTCAAATGACAGTGTCTCCTGTCACTTGCTGTGGGACCTGCTGCAAACTCGATTGTGCAGTGAGTCCCCAGCTTCCTTCCCAGCCCTGGTCTCTGTCTTGATGACCTCACTCACCTGAATCTTGAAGCACAGAACTGTCATCCTCAAACAGAGAGATGGACGGGACGTGGCCATCTCCCTCCAGGGGTTCCTGGGCTGCAGCTGCCTCAAACGTGACTCTGAGAGGCTCACCCTGGGCCTGCAGAGCCAGCAAGGAAAGGACGCCAAGGAGAGCCAGTGTCCTCATGGTCACGAGTCTCCTAGGGACGGGAGGGCAGGAAGTGAGTGCACTGGAGACAGGGGTCCCCTGAAAC